TTTTATATTTATTTTTTTGAGTAAATTAAAGAAAAGTATTTTTTTTGCCAAATTTTACATATAAATTTGGGTAAGTCGACTCATTTGATTTATATTAAACAACAACCAAGGGGACATGTCTTGTGTCTGATATTGATTATAAATTAATGTTTATTCTATTATAACACGCAAATACCTGAAATAATAATTTTTGGATTTATTTTTTTAAACATTAGTTTGATAAAGGCATGTTTGAATAGCAAACTAACCCTATAAAGCATCCAAAAATCACTATTTCAAGTTTTCGTTTAGCAGCATTTAAAAAAAGTTACTAACATAAAAGTATATTTATCTGGATCGAAAAAAAGCTTTTGCCCATAATAATAGTTCTCATTAGTTGCAATGCTTTGTTGCAAGTCTAGAGTAGGAACATGATTTGGATCTTCAATAATATTTTGAAAATCATCTTCACCAAGTTGTGTTTCAAATATAGTAATGTGAATAAGAGGAGGTGATCTCTTGACAAAGTCAAATGTTAATTTAAACTCTTCCTTTCTCAATATATCTATTTAATCAATTGTAAAAAATAAAAAAAACTGTTATTGGCAGTTCATCGAAAATGTTTGTGTAATATCAAAATTCGATAAAGTCCAATAGCATATGGTTTAGAATAGAATAATATGGACTGCCGTCAATAAAAATAAGGCAGATTGAATTTTTTTTTTTTAAAAAAAATAATATCTTAACTTTCACAGCTCGTATCTCGATGAATTTTGAAGCTAACTTGATGATTTAATATTCAAATGAATGCTTAGATCGTATGCTTTCTCTTAAATATTAATGCATTACGATAACTTCAAAATCCATCTAGAATGAGCCGTGAAAGTTAAATGTCAATCGCCTTACTTCTATTGTCCATATATGGTAAAAATTTGCAATGAGCATTTAGAATATGAAATAAAAATCTTTTGAATTTAAATATTGCTTGAATTCTCAATTTAATATTGTTAATTGTGTTCTAGTAACAAATAGGTTGTTTTTAGAAATTCTTAACAAAATTTTTAATTATAAATGAGTTCGTTCTGTAATTTTCATAAAATATTTAGTATTTCAGTATTTTTAAAAAGTAAGGATATAAATTAATTACCCATTATTACTATATTTTTCTTTAATTTTGTTGCGAATTTTTCCAAAATAATTTTGCTTAATTTTATGCGTTTTTAGATTATTTTCTACCGAAAGTAAGAACATTTCTCTCCATGTAATATATTCTTTACGAAATAATTCAATTATTTCTTTCTTAATCTCAGGATAATTATCGAATTCTTTGTTGGAAAGATAGTATTGAACAAATTGTTGATCTGATATCTCGGGAATTTCATTTTTTTTATGCCAAACCATTTGTGCCATTGATGTAATGCCAAGTTCTGCTAAAGCATTAATTATTGGAT